GCAGACCCGCCTCCGGCCGCAGGCAATCCGTGCGGACCCGCACGCCGCCCCGCCTCCCGGGCTTCGCGTCGCGGCCGCAGCCCGCGCCCACCGCCCCGTAAGTACACCTGGCCCCGCCCCGTCGTCGTCACGTGACTCCGCACGGCCACACCCATTGGTCGGCGGCCCCTTTCCCCACCCCTCCGCCCCTTTCCACCGGCCGCGGGAAATCAAACGGGCTGGTGGCGCCCCAACGGCCACCTGGGCTCGGCGCGAAGGGCGGGGCGGGGCGGGGCGGGCCCGGCCGCTCCCAGGTTGCCCCTAACGACCTGGGTGGGGGCCGGACGCCGCAGTCTCCGTTCCGGCGTGAGCGGCGCGCATCGCCTGCACCCTCGAGGCGACCCCGGCCCGCTCCGCGGCTCGCGAGTGAAAGCCGCCTCCCGGCCGCCCCGCTCGCACTAGAGGATGCGGGCTCGGGCCGCCCGGGCTGCGGCCTTTGCCCGCGGAGCCAGCTGGACGGCGCAGCACAAGTTTTCCCAGCCCACGCTTGCTTTCACAGCCGGGGACTCTCGCCTTTGCTTTTAAGGTAAAATTTACAACCAAATGCACAACTCTCCACCGAGTTTTGGTAACCGCGTTAGTCCAGTAGTCGGTATCCTCGTCCAGGTGCTCTTCCCTCGCCCCCAGAAGTTCCCTCGAGCTCCTTGCAGACAGACGATCGGCCTCCCCGCAGGCCACCGCGGCGACCACCCTAGATGCGTTTCCGGGTCCGTGCTGGGCGCTGTGGTCGCCGGTCAGGCGGGGCCTCCCTCTCAGCTCCCTTCTCCCTTCTTTTGTCCAACTGGCCAGGCTTAGGGCCTTTGCACCGGCCGTTTTCTCTGCCTAGACGTGTCCTCCGAGTCCTGCAGGTTGACTTCTTTAAATACCAGCGTACATATCCCTCCTATGACATCATCCTTTATTTTTCTCGTGGTGTTTTTGAAAATATGGGAGTATCCTGTTTGTTCATTTGCTTCTTTATTAATTCCTGGCCCCCCACCTCCATGGTCCCCTCCGCCACGCTAGACTGTGAACTCCACAGCGGCAAGAATTCCGTAGTTATGCCTGACGCCTGGGACAGTGCCAGGCACAACACAGACAGACTCTCCATGTTTCCTGAATAAATGAATGGCCCCCATTCCACAGATGAGAAGGCTGGGTTTCTCGGGAGCCCCGGAGGTCTGCCCCGGGAGCCGCCATCTCCCTCCTGAAATGATGCGGCTCCAGAAGTCGCTCCTCCCGCAGGCGCCTCCGCGGCCAGGGGAGGACCTGGCCCGCGCCGGGCAGCGTGTATTTTTAGCCGGGACAGCACACGTGCCCCCGGGCGCAGCTCGGCCCCACGTGCGCTTCCCGGGTCCAGGTGTCCCACGCCAGGCCCGGCCTCGGCGCCCCAGCCGCGGCTTGTCCCGGTCCTGGAGCGCCCTCTCCCGGCCGGTCCCGGGGCCGCCGGCACTGGTTTCCTTGCCGTCCTTCAATCAGGTGCCTCTCACCCCACCGTTTCGGAATTGAGGATTCTGTTTCCCAGGACACAATGGACAAAAAGGGAGAAAAGGTGAGAAAACAACTAAATCACGAGGCGAGGCAGAGAAGGATCCAGAAATGATCACCCTCCTTTAGCCTGTTAAGGACCGACTCACCTGTGCCCGCCCCTGAATTCAATTCGAGGGATGCCGGAAGCAGAAGACCGAGGCTGGGGAAGGCAAGCAAGACGGTTCAGTGTGTCCCTGGCGACAAAAGAAGGGCCCGGGCCTCTGGCGCGGTGGCTGCGCATGGACCCGCGAGTCGAGAGGTCTCTGGTTGATTCCCCGTCGGGGCACATGCAGAGGTTGCGGGCTTGATCCCGGGTGGGAGACGTGCAGGAGGCAGCCGATTGATGATTCTCTCTCATCACTGGTGTTTCTATCTCTTTCTTCCTCTCCCTTCCTCTCTGAAATCAATAAAAATACATTTAAAACAAGCAAACAAAAAAGATTAAAAATTAGGAGACGAGGGGTGGGGGTGCTGCAGGGAAAAGCCCTCCCACTGAGGCCTCTGAGACACGAAGCAACATGCGTACATACAGCAGTTACTCTCTACCTCCGTGGATAAGAGTTAGCAGATGCCACCCAGAGATGCTCAGGGGAGTTAATGTCCCTGTTCAGCTGGAGGGCTTGTGATGGAATGTTCTGGGTATTTAAATATCATTATGTGCTGTGGATAACAAGGACTCCAAGGCATTCGGAGGACGGCCGCGTCCTTTCTCTGTCACTCTCTTTGCGTTTGCTCATGCCACCTGAAGATGTCTCGCCTACTTTGTTCACTGTTACAAAGCAAACACCACCATGCCGCTTTAGCTATTGCCCTGTATATTTCCGTTAATTTAACACCAAGCTTCCTGAAAGCAGTGTCTACTGTCGCTACTCCCTCATCTTTCTTTCACACCCCACCAACCCAAATCCAGTTTCTGCTCTACCACTCCACTGAGATGGCGTCAGCAATGGTCTTACAGTCCCTTCTTTAAAAAAAAATTTTTTTTTTAGCCCTAACTGGTTTGGCTCAGTGGATAGAGCATCAGCCTGCGGAATGAGGGATCCCAGGTTCGATTCTGGTCAAGGGCATGTACCTTGGGTGCGGGCACATACCCAGTGGGGGGTGTGCAGGAGGCAGCTGATAGATGTTTTTCTCTCGATGTTTCTAACTCTCTATTCCTCTCCCTTCCTCTCTGTAAAAATAAATAAATAAATAAAATATATTTTAAATTTTTTTTTTTAAAGATTTACCTGCAACCAGCCGGGCCAATCCCTTCTTAATTGAGACATTCAGTGGATGTTTTTTTGGTTCTCTTTCTACTCCATCAAGAGAAGTGCTCTTTCTGTAGCTTCCACTGCCCAACCTTTCTTATACCTCTCCTTTTGTGGCTTGCCCTCCTCACCAGCCTCATTCTTTCCTGGGCTGTCTTCTCTTGCCACCTGCCATCTATCTGTAGGTGTTTTTATCCATTCCCCTGCTTTGGGTGACTCCCTGCTACTGTGACACTTAAACCTGTGTCTCCAGCCCTGTGTCCTTCCCACCTTCTATCAGACTCTGAACCAGGCGCTCTGTAGCCCGTTGCTCCACGGGCTTCTGGAACTTGACAAGCCTACCTCTCAGCTCCTCTTTTTCCTCCCTCCCTCCTCCTTGCTGAGTTTCATCACCACATTCCCACAAGGGATCATTCTTGAGTACCAATTCCCCATTTGTAGAGCAGTTCCTGGATATGTCCAGGCTTAGCACAGCAAAGATAGCAAAGGCGGAGATTTGTGGCATCAAACTGAGATAATATTTGAAAGGTTTAAAAGGGGTCACTGCCTGGCCAGCGTGGCTCAGTGGTTGAGCATCAACCTGTGAACCACGAGGTCATGGTTCGATTCCCAGTCAGGACACATGGCCGGGTTGTGGGCTTGAGCTCCAGTGGGGGGCGTGCAGAAGGCAGTCAATCAATGATTCTCTCTCATCATTGATGTTTCTCCCTTTCTTCCTCTCCTTCCCTCTCTGAAATGAATAAAAATATATTTAAAAAAATAAAAGGAGTCACCTCTGCCCCGGTACCAAATACTCCCAGCAACATTCCCCTCCAACTTTCTCGTTGCAGCTCAAATCAGATTTTACTTCTTCTCTCATCCAATTCCTGTTCTCTTATTTCTCATACCTACAGCCTCCACCTTCTCCCATCTACTCCTTACTGCTGCTACCTCTGTCCTCCCGTTTCCAGGCTCTGCTAGCACTCTGCCAAATCCTTGGTCGTTTCTCCACCGTCCGTTTCCTTGTCCTCTCGACCATATCTGATATTACTTACCACCTCCTTCTTGAAACCTTGTTGTTTTTTAACCTAAACACAGTAACAGCTAATATTTGTTGAGCATTTACTATGCCCCATATACACTTCTAAGCACATTAGAGGCCTTTAGTCATTGCAACCGTCCTGGGAAGTGGATAGTATGAAAATTATCCCATTTTTCAGATAAAGAAACTGAGGTGTAGTAAAGTGAAGCAACCAGCCTAAACTCACAGTACTGTGGAACACACTGAGCTGAGATTCAAATGCAGATCAGCCTAACTCCAGAGCCCAACTTCCAAGTCATCCGCTCTTCCCGCCGTGCTGGGACTGCGCTTTTCCATCTTCCTCACCATCTTATGGCCTCGCGTCCCCTCTAGTTCTTCCCACACATCAGGCTTTTCCTCCCAAACTAAATTTCTTGAAAGACTGTCTGCATTCCGCAGGCTCTGCTGCTTCTCTTAGTCGGCATTCAAGAAAGACTCTGACAGTTGTCATATTACCTAGTTCAATGAACACTTTTTTGCTCTTATTTCTGTCTGTGTGGCAGATGCAACTGGAGGCCATTTTCTTCTCCCGTTTCTTCGTGGGCTCCTCAGTCTTTTACTTGCCCCTTCCTGAAGGTCAGAGTCCCCAGTTCTTCTGTTCTGCCTCTGTAACCTCTCCTGTGGAGACTCATCTGCTCCCACCGCCGTAGATGTTATGGGTAGAATTGTGTCCCCTAAGAATA